CTAGTGTCCAGGAAGAGTAATTACCAGACATTTAACCCTCCATTTCAACCAAGTTTCAGGTTGAAGCTGTCTTGAGTTTTAAGCTAGCAAGATTCTTGGTGATTCCTTCGGTCTTGGCTAGTGTTAAGACAGAGCTGTTAACCATAAAATCTAACGCTCACTCACGAGTGCTGTACCTCTTTAAGGAGCTCCTAAACGAGTTTTTCCGGCAAGAAAGCAGACATTATGCCTTTTCTTATGTTACCCTGTGGGTGACGGTCAGTCTTAATGGAGCAAACCATAGTGCGCCCATGACAGATGCACTTGCTGGTATAACTGCCTCTTTTTGGCACATTATTGCTTGGCTTTAATTTCATTGTCAACAGTCTTTATTCTCATGATGAGTAACTGAGATATCTGGGTCTTAAAAAAAAACCACACCAAACATGGGAATAACATCTTGTTGCACCATTCTGGCCTCCACAGTCATTTCACCAAGGCCTGCTGTTATTTCAATGTCCTTTGTAATTATCACCTCGATTTACCTAATAGCCAACAGTAATTTTTCAGGGTTTGTTGTTGTTGTTTTTAATCTACACATATGTACAGATGTATTGGATTTGCTTTGAGAGAGGTTAACTGGTTGTGGCTAGTGAGCAGTTTAGCTGGTGAATGTTCACAGTTAAGAGCAGCTGTAATGAACTCTGGCAGATGTCACTGATTGCGAGACAGAATTTTTCCACCTCCATCCAACTTCATTTATGTCCTTGGCTATTGCAAATCAAGTTTATTTCTGTAGCCAAGGAGAATTTGTTTCTTCCAAGCATAGGATAAAGTTTAAGGAAATCTGTTTCAGTCTTTACTAGACTATTTTTTTTCCCTTTTGCAAAAATGTCTAAAATTTTGTAGACATCGTTAAGCCCATGTGTCTGCACAGATGACATTTATAATTACTCAGCCGGTTGCGGAATTTCATTAAGAAGGATATAGTTACAAAGATGGACAGGAGATTCGGCATATCACCTGTTATTTGCTAGGTGGCAGCAGCTGACCCACCTGTGGAGAGATTCAACCAAAGGGGCCATACATGGAATCAAAGAACATTGCTAACAGAAAACAAAATGCTCAGATATGAATATAAAATAGCAAACACTGAGGCAGACGTGGGCAAGACTTCTGATTCACGGTGTAGACAAAACGGGTAGAGACGAGACGGTCAGCTCAGTTATCCAAGATACTGCTGAGTTCATTGTATTACTATCACAAAGGGAAGTTCACAGGCTTCATTTCTCAAATACCACTTAGGACAAAGCTGGAGAGAGTAAACAGCGCCATCTCCATGGCAGCATTGTAGACGATTAGTAAGTCAGACAGGTAGAGGCCTACACAAGGCTACAAGTGCCCAATTTTCAGTAAAATCACATATATGCAAATCTTACCCTAATGTATTGTTTTTCTTTATACTGATTCTTAAAAAGTAGACAAGGGATGTGGTAAATTATGTGGTACTAGAAATGGACACATTTTTTAACACTTGCACAATATGTAGGAGGAAGAGAAGACAATTTCTCACATTTTGGCAGCAAAACGGTAACGAAGTGGATACAACAGAACCAAACAATTTACATTAACGGCATACTCATATATGTCCTCTGTAAACAAATTTTAAAGTCACATCGTATTCTAGTCTTCACATGGTATATATACAGGTATTCCCCGAATGATAGGAACTCCTAGAGATGAGAGGAAGAACATTAGAATAAGCTAGGAAGTATAAAACCTTAATACTCTGAAATGCAACCCAAAGCTGTCTTCCTCTTCTGCTGTCTACTTTCAGATAAGCTCTTATTAAGAATTTGGTTCCAAAATTCAACCTCTAGGTATATGTTACACATGCATATTCGGTCCAATTTACTTCAGTTATGATACTTAACCTATAACATGGAAAACAATGGTATCCAAAATAATAAATATTAGACAATTCTATAGATTAAATGTCATCAAAAATCACATTGTAGTCAATATAGCTGACTTGTCAAGGTAGGAAAACACAGTAATAATTTTTATAAATATTTTTATAAATTTTGGATGCAAACAAAAAGCTTCTGGTTAACTTTGACCTAACAAAATGTTTAACTTATACCACTGATCCAAAACACAAAGCTTAATTAGGATTTTACTGTATATAAAGTAGTTGGTCTGTGGCATCACGGGTAATAATCCAGAAAGACATAATTAGAAAAGTACTGAAGATACATAGATATGACAGTTGAAGGGATCACATTTTTCGTATAGTCATAAAGATAGAAAAATCAATATTTAAATTAAAAATTCTAATATTCACTGGGTAAGCATCTTCACATTTTAAACATTTAGATGTTCGAACTCATCTCTCTTTTGCTACTGGTTTAAAAAATATCTTATACTTATTTACCTAATAAAATATCTCCTCCATTTATATCAACAACTAAAATGCATTAAAAAGGACCAAAACATAACTAAAAGAAATTAAGGAGAAAAACAGCTTTTAACCCAATGTGTGTCATGCAGGTAAGCAAAAGAAGAGCAAGTTCAAAGAGTGTGCCATGAAAATTATTTTGAAACTTCATTTGTTGAATGAAACTAAGGAACCACAAATGATGTCCTGAATGTGTACGCTGTGTCACAGATGGAAGTGAAAGAACATTTTCAAATCAAGGTTTTGTCCTGAGGGTCCTTAGGGGATCATAATGCGGAAACACTGCCGTCTTAAATGGGCTCCTGTTCACTGGAAGAGCTACTTCTGTGACTTGTTTTTCAAAGCTGTTCCTTCTATAAGATTCAGTTACACGAGAAGAAAGCTTTTATAACATTTTGTGACAGTCTTTAGAGCGTGGTAAAGATCGAAAGTAAAAAATTAAAGGTTAAGAAGTCAAGGTTAGTTTCAGTCCCAAAGAAAACCAGCTAAAGTGACTCCATCACACATTAAGCTTTCATTTGAGGGGCATAACTACAACACCGAATTCAGTTTTAATTTATTGAATTTTCTTAATTTATTTTTAATGTGTGACCAATGCCTACAAGTCTCTTCAGCCTCTGTTTCCTTTTACTATTTATATAAATCATGTGGTTACTCCAAACTCATGAAAACAAATATTATTACCAGATGCTGAATTCTTCCTTTTCTCCTCCTATTTTAATGCAGGGAACAGCCTGTTCCAGCCAGTTCAGAGCAGAGGGTGACCTGGGGCCCGCCCATCTGCAATGGGTACTGCTGACAGCTGCCACTGTGTACAGAAGGTGTTCTCCGTGTGTACACAGCACGTGTGAGGGAGACAGCCAGTGAGGGAGACAGGAGGGAGGTTACATACTGGCAAAGGCGTCTTCTACAGAAGTGACATGAACACTACGACACATGGGTATTTAAGGCCCAAAGAGAGAGTTTTAGACTCAATTCGTTAATAATAATTTGACTGCTAATTTGATGGTAATTTCTACTTTAGATAGCCTTTTTACTAGAGGCCAATTGGTAAGAAACTGAAACATGTGCTTTATTAAAAAATTCATTGCAAGTTTCAAGTCTAACAACTCTAAATGCCATTCTCCAGCTCTGAGAATGCTGTGACTGGTCTACTTATACAGGCTTCATCGACAGTCCAATGGCTTTGAAAGCAGTCAATGGCTATTTACTAATTTAGGTTATGTCCAGTGTGGCTTGTGGTGTTAAAGCTTATGTATGAGATCCACGCACCCCCATATATTCAGAATCTTCAAAAGAGAATTAAAAAAAAGCCAAAACAGAAACTGTGCATTTACTGCACAAATGGCATTTATGAATCTCTGGAGAGAGAATACTGCTCACCAAGGGCAGTGCGTTTAGAGAAGGCAGGCAATGCCCCTCCAACCTCTAACAGTGATTTTCTAAAAGCAAGGTGGAAACCAGCAACCTCCCTGCAAGTCCAGGAGGGGAAGCCTTTCAAGGACCCACGCTCACTCCCCTCTTCCTCACTACCCTGACTCAAGCCACTATTGGTCACCCCAGCCCAGTGCCCTGCACAGCACTCATGGGCCCCAGGGACACGCTCCCCTTATGGAGACAGGAGAGGGCTCAGCTCAAACAGGTGCCTGTGTTCTCAAGGACCAAGCCCACCCAAAGCTCAAAGCATGTTTTTGTAAAGGCGGCTTCTTTTATTGGGTTTGAAGGATGAGATATGATGGTATTTCTCTTAAAATCAAGAGGCTTGCAGAGGTTACCTTTTTACCACAGATTAGACGTAAGTAATTAGACGATATTAGTCTACATACAATAACAGTAAGCGAGCTCATTTCTATTTGACTACATTTGCTATGAGAAGCTACTGAACCAAATCAAAACAAAACCAAAAAATGCATCCTGTTTACAGGAGTTTCAGTTAAACCTGTTGTTTTTTGTTACTCAAGAGGCTTTCTTTTTTTCAACACAGAAAAAAGTGTTTGGTAATTGGCTGTTTATAATTCCTTACCAGAACCATAACTTTCTCAGTAGAATGTCATTGGAGAACACCTGAACAACATACAATTTAGCATTATCAATCATTTGAGGGCTCTCTTCAAGAATTCAGTCGCACGTACTTCCTCTAGGGTAAGGAAATATGAATTTAATCTAGTTACAATCACAGAGATGACCCTTTCCTTCAGTGCAGGAAAATGCGTATATATAAGTTCATGTTTTATGTGGGCAGTACTCATAGTCAGATGCTGTGCTAATTGCTTTCCTAATATGACTTTCTTGCGCTTATTAACGGGTATAACAAGGCTCATCAAGAGGGTTATCTGCAGATGTTTCCAAATAGTACTGCATATTTGGCACTTCATGCATTTAAATGCTTTTATTTAATATCTTCTGGCCGAGGAATGAGTCAAATTTGTTTCCTTTTTTTTTTTTTTTTTTCGGTTCCCGGGGCTCTCACTGTCGTGGCCTCTCCCGTTGCGGAGCACAGGCTCCGGACGTGCAGGCTCAGCGGCCATGGCTCACGGGCCCAGGTGCTCCGCGGCATGTGGGATCTTCCCGGGCCGGGGCACAAACCCGTGTCCCCTGCATCGGCAGGAGGACGCTCAACCACTGCACCACCAGGGAAGCCCTGTTTCCATTTTTTACATGGTATTTCTCATCACCTACTTGAATTTTGTGTGGTATCAGCATTCTTATTGCAATGGACTAGAGAGTATAACCGTGTTTTCGCTAAGAGTGTTTTTGCTATTTCTAATATAAAGCAGGGATTTTAATGGAAATACCACAGTGTGATAAATTGAATGAGTAATACAAAATGACACGGGTAATGATCATGTTATTCTATAAGCAACATCATAGTAAAAAACCCACTGAGTGTTACTTCCTCTTAGTTAAGGTCGTAAGCCTTCGGCGAAGCTTGTTACTTTTCTTTCTTTCAAACTGAAATGATGTATTATTTATGGACCCCCAATCCAAGGATGCCACAATCCTTAATAGCAGTTTCCTCAAGTTAGTGCTTTCTCTTCCTGGTCTCTCAGAAAACACTAAGCTTTGACATAGACAGAGGGCTATCTATGAAGACCGTAAAAGCATACAAGGGCTCCCGTACATGTTCCTTTTCAATCTAATACAGAAGAAGGAGCAGGACGAATGCAGCAGTTGGGCCGTCGGAAGTTCTGCAACATGGACTGGAAAACACTGGGCTGCCTGCCTTTGAGCTTCTTATTTGAAGAAGTATCCGAGGAGATGGATCTCCGGCTCTGGCTGCTTTGAGATTTGATTAATTTCTCGTGTTCCCTGATTTGTCGTTGTAAGTGGTTCTGGATGGCGACGCCCAGGGACTCTGGGTCCAGGGAAGCGCCGTACACCTCCCAGGTCATGCCCTGCTCGTCCCACACCACGTCCCGGACACGCTTGGACTGTTTCAACTGCAGCCTGGCGTCAGCACCCAGGTGCTTTTTCTTCTCTCCCGGAGTGAGTCCCACCTGGGCGGCAGCTGCCGTCACGTTTAACTTCTGCTCCTTGAGGAACTCGCTGACCCGGCTGGCCCGGCGGGGACTGGCTTTGACGGAGCGAGAAGGGGTTCTCTTGCCAGAACCGGGACTGGAGTCCCCCATGGAATCAGACGGCAGGCTTAGGCTGGTGGCTGTCTTGGGCTGTCTATTTTCTTCCACGCCGCCCTCCTGGCTCCTCCTGACTGGGGAGGGTGTAGGACTGGCAGCTAATGCGGTGCCTCTACTTTCTTGAGATTTAGGATTGAGCAGTACAGTTTTGGCCTCTGCCCTTGCCCTCGGGTCCAGGATATCGGTGCCAGAAGATTCTTGTTCTCTTACTATCTGAGGAGATGCAAGCTTCTCCTCTCTTGCGTCCCCTTGATTCGTGAGATCCAAGTTCCCGGACTGGTCAGCTCTGCTGGCAGGGCCACAAGAGTTGGAGAGTTTCCAGTCTGGGTCCGGTTTGTGGCCGTTGGTGGTTCCCACTGCAAACTCAGATGGCTTCGTTTCAAATTTCCCTAATCCGTGACTTGTTTCAGCTTGACATCCTGCACTGATAGAAATCTGGTCACTGAGGCTAGCTTTCAGGGAGGTAGAATTAGTACCCGAAAGTTGTCTAGAGGCGGGCTCTTGCCCCACCTGGGTCATTCCCGCTGACCTCCCATCTTCTTTGCATGTAGCCTGAGCATTACTGGATGCCACGTGGATTGATGAGGTTTTAAGGACCTCAGCCGGTAGGCTCGCTGATTTACCTTCCCCCCGGAAAGCCGCAGCTGACTGGATGTGCACCTCTGGCGTGATGCCAAGGCACTGACCCGCCTCCCGGGGGGCTGGGGTGCTTGCAGACAGCTCCAACGTGTGGCTTATGCGGCCACTGCCGCTGCAGACGACACGCAGCTGCTCTTGTTCGAACTGCTCTGGAGCGGGGGTTTCCTTTAAGAACGCAGTGAGAATGCTGGGGCTGGTAGACACCGATCTGCTCTCGACACTGGCCACTGCCTGCACCTCAGCATCTTGCTGAGCCCTGGGGGGAACTTCCTTGATCTCATTTTCAGCTTGGCTGGTCATCGTACTCACTTCTCTGAACCTCGACCCCTGAGGCTGTGCTGGCGGCAGCATCTTCTCTGGATCCGGAGGAAACACGGACCCTTTGCTAGGGAGGTGGGATGACTGAGGTGCCACCGAAGTCACGGCCTGGGGGTCTGAGGTCGTGGGAGAGGGTGGTCTGTTCTCCGAACATCTAACTTCTCTGGCTGGAGATTCACAGGACCTTGTCTGGGAATCGCAAACGGCTTGCTGCCTTTCCCCTTCAGGTCCACCTACAGGAGCGGAGGCAGGACTGAGCGCCTTGGCTGCTGTATCTGCAGGTTGCACCATTCCCTGGATCGTTTCTTGAGAAGGAAAATAAGGGGGCACCTGATCTTTGCCACGGACCCCTCCCAGCGGACAACTTGACTTCTCAGCTTGCTCTCCGTCTGCAGTTCTCTGTGATTTCACCAGGGTGTCTTCAGGTCCTGATGGGAGGCTGGAGTTGGGCTGGTCCCCTGGGATGGCCGGGTGGGTGTGCTGATTGGCTGGTATGGTGAATGCTACGTGTATCAGATCCTTTCCTGCAGCAGAACACGGGGCTGGCGCTGCGGGCTCCCTGCTCCCTGGCAGCTGGGTATTGCCAGGAGAGTTGAACGTGGGAGATGCTTTCCCCACCTCGTTGACAATGCCAGCAGACGACATGGCTGGCTGCGCGGCCTCCTCCTCACTGGCCTGCATCAGGGCCTCAGCAGCTGTCCTGGGACTGAGGTCTGGCTCTGCAGGAGTGCCAGAAAGGCCATTGGTGTTCCTACCCAGGACGGCTGGTTGAGGCTGACGTGAAGCAGCCTGAACCTCTCCCAGGTCCTCTTCTTTTCCAGAAGCTGCAATCAGGGAAGTTTTAGCCGATCTCAGAGGGTCAGGTACAGTCCCCATGGAATTTCTCTTTGGGAAAATCTCAGAGCTCTCCCCTGAGCAGCGCTCCCACTGGGAAGCAGTCGTAGCTCACAGTGAAGCTGCAATCAGAGATGATTCCTCTGAAGGACCAATCTGTGAATCAAGGAAACAGTACCATTAATACAGTACAGTATTTGCGGATTGAAACTACACCAAATTGTCACTTGTATGAGATCTCATAAGCCCATGAAAACTTCTCTTCCCGTATCTCTCTCTTTTTTTTTTTTTTCCGGTACGCGGGCCTCTCCCTGCTGTGGCCTCTCCCGTTGCGGAACACAGGCTCTGGACGCGCAGGCTCAGCGGCCATGGCTCACGGGCCCAGGCGCTCCGCGGCGTGTGGGATCTTCCCGGACCGGGGCACGAACCCGTGTCCCCTGCATCGGCAGGCGGACTCTCAACCACTGCGCCACCAGGGAAGCCCTCTTCCCATATCTCTTGATATAAAAATAGATCTTGGGAAGAAAGATTCTGGAAAAATGATTTTAATTATACAGGTATTATTTTGATATATTAGTTTCTGCTTGCATCCCATCGCTGTCTAGCAAATAGGTTTTTAACGTATTTACCTACGCACTTGATAACTACCTCATTTGAGTAATCCAATTTACCAGGTATCAGAAAATCCTATAAAGCTACTGTAATCAAATGAATAAGTATTGAAATAGGCCTAAACAGATATGCGGAATAGAATATCTAGAAATAGATCCAGATATAAATGAGGATTCAATATATGATAAAAAAGGCATTTCAATTTGGTGACAAAAGGATGCGTTATTTAATATAAGGGGCTGGCAAACTATTCAACCAGAAGAAAAGAAAACCGGATCTTTATTTACACCAATTCCAAAAATAAATCTTAGATGGACTTAGAGAGATTGAAGGTTAAAATGGAAAATAAATAAATAATCCTGTTAAGAAAGTGTAGGATCATAAATATAATCCAGGGGCAGGGTAGGAAGGCTTCTTTTGGCAAAGGCAGAAAATACAAAATCTATGAGAGAAAACATCAGCATAGGTGACTTAAAAATGACAAAACTTTTGCATATGGCAAAAGATGACGAACAGATACAATAGGTTTAAAAACGTTTGCAACCCTGGAGGACAGGCAAAAATATCTGTAATATAGCAGAAGCTCTTAAAAATGTACAAGGAGACAAAATAATCCACTGGAAAAATGGATAAAGAATATGAAGGAACAGTTTGCAAGATAGGAAATCCAATAGCCAACAGTCTTATGAAAAGATGATCAAATTCATTTGTACTCAAAGAAATGCAAATAAAGTAACAATGAGATTTTACTCTACACCAATTGCACTTGCAAAAACTTTACAAAAAAATGTTATAACAGCATGGCCTGGGGAGATCTAGTGAAGGGAAGTATTTTCATTAATTGTATGTGCAAATGTGTATTGTTGCAGCTTTCTTAGGGAAGCAGTTTAGCTTTTAAAACTAAAAATACACAGGTCCTTGACCCAGTGATCCTATCCATAGAAATAAAATACCAGCATATGTAGATATACGTACAAGTATGTTTACTGAAGTACTATTTGTAGAGACAAAAAATTCAAAATAAACGGATCTCCTTGATTAGGTGGAAAGGCAGAATAAATCATGACAAAGCTCTATGGTAGAGCATTATACAACCATTAAAATAAACCGTTAATTAGACTATAACTTTTCACTTGGGAGAAATTTCCCCAAGGTATGGCTGAATGAGAAAAGCAAGGTACAGAGAAGAATATATATGTTTTCATTTCTGTAAAACAATGACCTAAAACGCTACATATGTATGTGTTATGTGGGTGTGTACAGATGTGTTTATGTATGATTATGTAAATTCTAAAAATATACAGAATGAGACATACTAGGTGGTAAATGGAGGGAGTGTGATGACTTTGGAAACAGGGAAAAAGAGATGGAGGTATCCAAAAGTATTTTGGATTTTAAAAGTATATTTTAAAAAGTATATCTGAATTTTTTAAGTATTTATGAAAATTTATTCATGTGAGTTTATGCATAAACATTTTTTTAGAAAGGAAAACCAGACTCCAGCAATGGTTCAGAAATTAGATGACTGTTTTAATATTACCTCTATCACTCATAGGTTCTGTGACCTCATGGGAATCACTTAATCTTTCTGCACCCCAAATTAACTCATTGGTGAAATGAATTATGTGATTTCTAAGGACTCCTCCAGATCCAAAAATCAAAGATCCTACTGTTTTGCATGTGTTGGATAATAAATCAAACAGCACAAACTTAACTTCAGCTTTAGGGTCAAAGTAAGGCAAAGGCAAATCTGGTTGAGCCCAGATTTTGAAAATAAATAATCTTATATTTTGGTTCAATGTTATTTGGCTGATCTATCATATGACATCTAACAATAAATCCAGCTTATCTTCTTCCCCAAACCAGCTCTTCCTTCTAACTTCATTATTCATATTAATGGGTTAAATATGCTTGGTCTTGACAGCTTTCTGCTCATTCAAACCATGTCCCCAGGTTTATACTCCATTTCTTCCTTTCTGGAGTTTTCTATCGCAATCACTTGTTGTGGCGCCAGCCCATCTTTCCTCTCCCTCTTTCGCACCTGTCTTTATTATACCTTTAGTCCTCTCTCTGAGCCCCTCATCCTCAAACAGCCTACCCATTCTTCAAAGCCCCACTTAAACCCCATATCCTTTCTGAAAGCCTTCTAAGGCCTTTCAGGTCATAAAGTCTCTCTCTCTTTTCAAAATCCTACAGCTATGGTCATCTGCGTCCTTTGTATTGTGCTTTTTATGTACTGTTTTTGTACCGCTGTTACTTGTATAAATGCCTCATTTCTCCCAAAGTCCTTCAAGTCTCAGGAGGGAAGGGAACTAGCTTATTGATTCTTTTCTCTTCACTCCACAGGACACAGTGCAGGGTCTTGTGCACAAAAAAGGTGTTAATTGATTCCATTTCCCTCCAAAATGGCCATTATTAAGCCCTGCCAAACTTCAAAATAATAAAAAAATTTAACCCATGGCATGAAATATTAATGAAAACACAATTTAAAAGAGTGCTATTTTTAGAAATAAAAACATGGTTGTATCTTAGTTTTGAGATTTTATGTATCTGTAATCCAGGTTTAGACAATTAAAAACAAGTACATGGGCCACCTGCTACAGAACGCTGGAAGGTCTAATAAACCCAGGAGGACAGAACATCTCCCGTGTTACTCGGCTGGAGCCAAGAAGCCTGGCTTGCCAAAGGCGACTATAAAATACAAGCACCTCAGAGTTCAGCAGCTGAAAGTTGAAAGACTTAGAAAAGACGAGGGACTTCATTAAACTCTCAGGAGTCATTGAGTTTACCCCCATTTCCCACAGAGAGCTGATTGGACTGGTTTATTTTTGAAAGGATGTTTTCTTTTGTTTGCTTTGTTAATAGTGGCCAAATTATCCATCAATTCAAGAATCAAGAAGAGGGACTTCCCTGGTGGTACAGTGGTTAAGAATCCACCTGCCAATGCAGGGGACATGGGTTCGAGCCCTGGTCTGGGAAGATCCCACATGCCGTGGAGCAACTAAGCCCGTGCGCCACAACTACTGAGCCTGTGCTCTAGAGCCCGCGAGCCACAACTACCGAGTCCACGTGCCTAGAGCCCATGCTCCGCAACAAGAGAAGCCACCGCAACGAGAAGCCCGTGCACCGCAACGAAGAGTAGCCCCGGCTCGCCGCAACTAGAGAAAGCCCGTGTGCAGCAACAAAGACCCAACGCAGCCAAAAATAAATAATAAATAATAAATTAATAAATAAATAAATTTATTTAAAAAAAAATCAAGAAGAAAAGCCCAAATTGCTTGGCTATCACCTGTAATTCAACATCTCTTGATTCAAGGATAGATAGGAAATCAACACTACTCAAAACATATCTGCTATTGTAATTGTCACAGCACCTCCAGGAGCCCTGGAAAGACTGCTAAAGCTCAGGAAGCAGCCCTCCCTCATCTGCCCCTCGCCTCTGCAGCCAAACAGCAGAAATCTATAGTCTCTAATGGGTTGGACAAATAGGTCATTTAAAAAATGTAATTACTTGGTGGTTTAGAGTGAGGAGTAAAAGTCTTTAAAAGCAATGGGAGTCCATTGTGATAAGATTTAATAACACCTAAAAATGAGCTTGCAAACAGATGATCCACAGACTGAATAAATTCCTTCTGCAGGTCTGTGTGTCCTGTGTGATTTTCCCTTCCCTTCCCTCCCCTGCCTCTTCCCCTCTCTCTCCTTGCCCTTTTTCTCTTTCCTTTCCTTTCTTTTCTTTCTTTGTCCATTGAATTGATCTTTCATAAAAATCCAGATTTCTCTCTTGCTTCTCTTAAAAAAAAAAACAACACTCAGAAGGTCATTTCCAGGTAGCAACACTAGGTGGCGCAGATAAGGGCAGTCCCTCTAGAGGGCAGGGACGCTCCCGACTCCAGACTGCCCATTTCTCACCTAGCCCCCTTCACTCCTTTACATAACTTACCCCGGCTCCAATGCACAGCTCAGTTTGAGAGCTCTGTTGTAAGTGCACTGACACAGTGGACTTCCCAACCTAATTTTCAGTCCTCTGAGGACAGTTTGGCACTGTGTTAGCCTCTTTAAAAAAACTCATATTTAAGCTTTGATCTCTGTTAAAAGAAAAAATTATTCTTATACTTGTTAAAAATGATAAGGAAGATTCAGAAAGATTGAGCTCAACTCCACATACATACACAAGAATGTGTGGGGATTTATAACCAAGGGGTAGGTTTGTGTTGGGGAGGTTTGTCAGTGGATGGAAAATGATTAAGAACAGACATCAAGGGCTTCCCTGGTGGCGCAGTGGTTGAGAGTCCGCCTGCCGATGCGGCAGACGCGGGTTCGTGCCCCGGTCCGGGAAGATCCCACATGCCGTGGAGCAGCTGGGCCCGTGAGCCATGGCCGCTGAGCCTGCGCGTCCGGAGCCTGTGCTCCGCAACGGGAGAGGCCACAGCAGTGAGAGGCCCGCGTACCGCAAAAAAAACCCAAACAAACAAAAAAACAGACATCAAGGATCGGGGGATTATTGCTGAAGGCAGGTCAGGTGATCAGATATCACCTGGGGGATG